GGGGGGGGGAGGGAAGGGTGAGAAAGCTAAAAAGGTTCAGTTTTGGCCAGAAAAAGTCCACTCTGAATCAAAGTTTGACCCATTGCTCTGAGGAGGCAACAGTGTCCACTTTTCAGAAAAAGAATTAATTGTCCTTTGAAATACCTGTTTAGTATATAACGGGATTATTTCCACAAAGTTTTATACTTAACTAAATCTCTTATATCTCCCCCCATTAAATCGATGTTGTGTGTGTGTGTGTGTGGGGGGGGGGTTGCAAATTTAAATTTGCAAAGCAGATAAAATTTGAGAATAGTGAGCATACTAGTAATTTTAAAATGTTCTTGGTTTTACCTTTTGTATTGTATCTATTTTAAACTAGGGTGTCATCTCTGCGTGTGGAGGAGGATCAATAGACAAGCGTTAATGTTAGTGTTGGGAGTGCAGTATGTTGAGCTATTAAACACTAGTGATATATGACACCAATAGTTTTAGCATTTGCCCATTAGATGTGCATGGTATTTACAGTGATAATATTTCTATTTTTATAGATTTTAAAGAAAAAAAAATTTCATCACTTCTGTTGACTAATTCAATTTTGTGGTGTTAAACTACAGCCAACATTAATGTCAGAGTTGTGAACCAGCTAGTTCTGTGGACGCGGACACTAAAATCAATTCTCGCTCAACAATTGTATGTAAACTATTTCTTTTAGTTACTGTAGGATGATAAAAAAAGAATTTAAACAACAAGTTGTCTCTTCAAAGCATTTAATTAAGAAACTCAAATTAAATTAAAATATTGACCGGAAAAACCTTTTTGTCTGCATCAGTGCTTATTGATCTGTCTGTGACCTTGACCTTGTAATGACCTTCACATGACACTCCAGTCCCAGGAATTCCAGGATTTTTGTGGTTTTTGTGATTGACATGACTGTTCTGAAAATATATTCTTGGATTTGCCAGTTTTGGAGGTGTGGCTTATGGGACTATCAGGAAGTATTGGAAATCTGCAATGATTCGGATTTTATGACAAAAGGCAGGATTTTTTTATCATTGGGGGAGTTTATGCATTTTAAATTGGGTGGAGGGGGGGGGGGGTCAGATTAATGAAAAGCAGGGATACCACAAGACCAAGTGTTTTCTACTTTGAATTTCCTTTTGTCTTAAAGTTGTCCTACAGCCTATGAATGTAGTAGTTGATTTTTATTACTCAAATTGTGTCTACAGTTTTTATTTTCAAACTTTTTAAATTCTTCTTTTCTAAATTTAAAACATCAAGTTTTTGCACGCAAAAAAACATATGAGAAAGCATAAACCAGTGAGATGTATATCTTTCTCCAGACCTTTGAATATTTTCTTCTGTTTTCTTCCAGTTGAAGATGAGGCCTTCGTCACCTTGGCAACCAGCGACACGTACGCCCTGGGCAGTCTGGTGTGGGGGCAGTCTCTACGCAGAGTGGGCACCACGCGGAAGCTCGTGGTGATGATAACTCCTGGTGTTTCACACGGCATACGGTACGTCCAATGCATGTGTCGGCCTGAAGTCCTGTTCACATCAGGTTTAAATTAGGTCTGGGAAATGGTACATGGGAGAGAATTTGTATATTTGCCAAGGTTCTCAATGGTGTAATTGTGCAGCACTATGAGGAAAGCATCATGCAATTTTACCTACAACCATGAGATTTGGGACAGTTTATAAGAAGCATGCATGTAATAGAAGACAGACAGGATCTTGATGTCCATATTTGGGGATGTGTGGGTAGGTGGGTGGGGGTGGGGGGGGGCAAAAATGATCTACAGGTTGTGATAAAAACAAGACAGCATCTGTCTGTTTCTGTAGGAAACTCCCCGGCCACAGTGTATTAGCAAGGTCTTTACATTATGTTACCAAATGCTATAGTTGTGGTAGCATCGTAATTTTATTTATTTCACGCCCGTAGCCAGGGGGGGTTCGGAGGGTTCGAAAGAACCGCCCCTTTTGGTGGGAAAAGGTCCACTCTGGGTAAAATTTGATCTAGGTTCATGAAGTTTTTATTGAAAAAGGTCCACTTTTTCAGAAAAAGAACCCCCCTTTTGAAATTGCTGGCTACGGGCCTATATTTATTTATTTATTTATTTATTTATTTATTTATTTATTTTAATTGGCACACATGTTGTGTAAGGACTGCAACCTGTACAATACATGTACATCACAGTATGATTTCTTTCACCAGTCTGGAAATGAATTTTGTCCTCTATCACTCCGTGATATATATAGATTTTTTCTTGAGGAGTTGTATTAAGAAAGTCCCAGGGCACCCATCCATAGGTTCAAAGATTACTGGAAACTCTACTGCATTAACAGCATGCCTTTGCTGTATCTTGGGCCTGGAGAATACAAGTAGATTTCCATTTATCTTTGATCTTCAGGGTGCAGGTACCCTAATTAGTAATTAACCCCTCTGGTCCCAGGGTTGTTAATCAGGTCCAGTATTTTTTGAAGGCCAAGGGTCATTGGACATAGGTCTATTAAGGCTTGTTGAAAACGGTGCTTGATTAGGAAAGATGAGATCTCCCTACAGTTATACACAAGTCTCTGGAACCTTGCCAGACCTTCAGGATGTTACTGTTACTGTGATTGATTTTACTGATGTTGTTATGGCTGTAATTGCTGTCTTCAAGTTTTTTTTTTTCAAGTTAATGATGTGAACCAGTCTCCAAGTTTTAGTACAGTACTTGACGTTGAATTAAATGTCATTTTAGGTGATGTATCGCCTTCATAAAATATATTGCGAAAAATCAGATATGTGTAATTAATATTCTCACTGTAACAGTGTATACATGTCTGAAAAGGGATCATCTAAGCCCAAAATGTGGTGTCCCAGCTTAAAAAGAACTAAGATTTTGCAGGGATTGGAAGAGAATGGGATCAGAAATAATTGCAGGCTAACAAGGGCTTTGGGCAATGAATAAAGGCTGATAGAATATGTTTATGGATATTATTTCTGATTTTTTCAAAAGCTCTGTCAAATTGCAGTCTGTTGGGCAACAGCAGAAATTCACCATGTGTTGCATGTCACTTTTGTGTAACTTTATAAGACAACAATAGTGGTCCATCGAGTTTCAACCCAATCCCTAAAATTGTAACCCCAACTCAGATTCAGATAGATTTTCTGATCTTGTATGGCATCTCAGATGATCCTCGTAGTGTCTTAAAAAATTCTAAATTCTGGGAAGAGATAGTTGATTATTAAAACTGCAAAATGAAAGTAATAAGAGCGCACTGACACACAAAGTGACATAATTTTCTGATGGTAGTAAGATGTGGTATACAATCATTCATTCATTCATGGTCTGAGTATGAATCAAAATGAGTTGACTTATCCCGCATGTCTAGACAACTGCTGCTGCTGATATCAGATTGCATGTACTGAGGTACCTGAAAGGTGTCTTGTGTAATGCCCCTGTACAAAAAGGGGGGGGGGGGGGGCAGTAGAGAGCCTAATTCCCTTTATAGAAGGTGCTAACTGCTTACACTCTAGCCTTTTTTGTGACATATAAAGACATAAAACTGTAAAATATCATGAACAAAAATGCTGGTAAAATAATGATAATGCAACCAAATTTGATAATTTTGTAACCTGTTGTCTAGTATTTTGTTTTCTCGCTTGGGTTCCTTAATTGTCTGTATTGATGTATGCATTGCTTAAATACATAAGGGAAGGATGACAACCATAGAATTTGATCTTAACTTTTAGGCCAAAAATTTTGTCTGTTTAAGTTCTGAATAACATACTAGCTGCTATAGCCTGTTTAGAAATTTTAAGTAAGAATTGATCTGAAACATTAGCCACGTCTTTCTTATTATGTTTAAAAGGGGTAATTTATTTCTTTTTATTAGACAATAAGTGTGTAGACTAAATTTGGTCTAATAGTAAAGACGCAATTTTGTGCTTATGGTATTTTGAGACAGACCCCTGGGTATTGCCATAATTGGTGACATTATTTTATGTGACCTATCAGTATGGGTGACATTATTTCATGCGACAGGCCCCTGGGTAGGGGTGACATTTGCAGCAGGCTCTGGCGGGTGTTATGTAATTTTTATTTTGTGGTTTCAGTAAAGGTCTGGACTAGTTTGCATTCCAGTGAAAGGGTAAATAGGGGTCATTTGGTCAGTTGAGGTCATTCTTTGCTTGGTATATTGATTTAAGTCTGGAATTAGCTGTGGAGACCGCATTTGAGTTAATGTTTGAATGCACGTACATGGTGTGTGTGTGTGTGTATGTGTGTGTGTGTGTGTGTGTGTGTTTATTTAATTTACATGTGTGCATGTGTGTATGTATGTTTGTGGTGTATCCATGCATATGCAATGAAGCTGGGGATGGAGATAGGCAATGTCCATAAAGTGCTGATTTGTCCTCTTTTGTCCAAACATGTGTACCAGTATATGTTTATATACAAATATCTAATTCAATCTTTGGATACTGTGGAATAAGGTTGACTGATAAGTCGCTGTAAGTTATCTTTGCCCTTAGCCAAGGATTACATGATGAACGGGGAAATCCACCCGTGTGTGTGTGTGTGTGTGTGTGTGTGTGTGTGTGTGTGTGTGTGTGTGTGTGTGTGTTGAGGGGAGTGGAGAAACCAGAACCAATCCCTTACCCTTTTATTTCAGTCCAGTCAGCAAAATAAAGGTGTGAAAACCAGAGATAAGCCAGACCCATGTTAGCAGCCTCAAAATAGCTTCTGCTATGTGTTTCATTATTTCAATGTATCGTCATACTGCCTGTGTGTATTGATTATGCCATTTTTTGCCTGTAAAAATATTTGCTTTGGCGTTGGTAATGATTTTCCCAAATCACCAGGCTAATGTTCATCAAAGTGAAACCCAAGGCAGGACCAGGTGTTTTATAAGGCACCTTCAAATACCTCAAACCCACCTCGGCCAGCTCTTGTAAATTAGTATGAAATCTCCCCTGGTTTGATGCGAGGGACCTTTACTTGAACTTCTGAATACTGATGTGGCCTTCAGTTTACTCTCAGACTTGAGGAGTGTTTCCTTTCGAGTTAGATGGTTATACTTAGATCTTGCCATTTCAGAAATTTGTTTGATTGATATTTCTTACTATAAAAAGTCCCTAGGGGAACATCACTTTCTGGAGCCAGAAATTGAATAAAACGATCATATAATTTGCAGTTGATATTCTCCTTAAAACACTCAGCAACCAAATACCAGCAAAATGATAGCTGATTCAGTAACATTTTGTACATCTGTTCAGTTATTGGCCACCATTTCTGCTTTTTAGACAAGTAGTTTCGTAAGTCTTACAGGCCTACCCAACTACCAGACGCGGCACCTACGGATCCTGAATAAACCGGTATATCAGACCACACTACACGTTTTCAAGGTGTGTGTCAGATCGCATTACGGAGTATCAGCCACTTCAACCATTTTGCCTGGCGCGCGATGTGATAGCGATGATCCTAAGCAGGGTTGGCAAGTAGTGCACCGGATGACAGGAAGGCCTACAAAATTTGTGATGGGGTATGATACTCCGTAATGCGATCTGACACACACCTTGAAAACGGGTAGTGTGGTCTGATATACCGGTTTATTCAGGATCCGTAGGTGCCACATCTGGTAGTTGGGTAGGCCTGTCTTTGCTGGTATTTCAAATTAGTGTTGTTATAGGTTTTAATGCAGACTTGGTGTAACTACAAGCAAATGATTCAAGGAAGTAGGATGGTATAGTGGAGGGATTAGAGTGGCTCTCTGTGGTTAGAAATTGCAATTACTCCAGATGATATGTTATGACTTAGAGTTAAGCAGTTACAACCCATCTGGAAATGCAGCTTTATCATCTCATGGCTGAGAGTAGTGTACTAGTCTTGTACTTATAATGAAAGGTCGAGTGTTCTTCATAAGGTTTAAGAGGATTGTGAGGGTTTCTCAGCCTTAATATAGCAGACTTGTTGGACATCTTGTTCCTGTTGTTCAAGTTTTAAAATATCAAGTTGAAGATGTTTTTCTAGTGATGTTGTAAAGATAGCATATATGTGTCCTTGCGGTTTATTACTGTAGGTCGAAATGTGCTTGATCTGTGATTACATATGAAAAAAAAAGAATTCCTTTTTTTCACTATTTTTTATCTGGTCTTGATTTTTTTTTTACCATTATGAAAGTTAAAGCAGTGTGAGAGTAAATAACATGCTTGACACATCAACCCAAGTATATATCAATTTACTACTGAAAACATAATCTACAAACTCACTCTCTTTACACCACTTAAAAACCACCTTTTCTTCAGCCCATTGGCTTGGATTTATTTCTCCTCTGAATGTTTGTAAGAAGAGTCGTTAATTAGGCATTCTCCGCAGACAGATGCTTACAGTGTGGGTAATAAGAAATATCAGGTGTTGCTTTCATTCCTGTCTTTCTTCGCCCAGACAAAACCACCTACACAGTGAATGATTTATCTTAGAAATAAGATGCCTAAAAACAATTAATTGATTAAAAAAATGAATAAGTGATTTAGGTTATTTAGCTGGATGGATATTTATAAGGGTCACCTCATAGCATCTCCTCTTATGTGAAGATGTTAGAATGGAAAAAAACATTACTAACATAGTCAGAGATTCCAAAGCCTCAGAACTTCAGATCACAAAACATTTCTGTTAGCTTTTAATTAAAACTAGTGCCCCCCCCCCTCCCCACGGTTTCTCAAATGAGCAATTAAAGGTCTGATCATCTTAATAAATATCCTCCTCACTGCAGACCAGAGAGGAGAAAATATGTGGTATAACAATTAAGATGTTCAGCATTCCTGCTCTGGTAAATTTAGCTGGTGACCAGCTGCTCCTATCTTCCAGTATACCTATAGCTTCTTAACCAGGATAGTCGGGAATACCGTGTGGTTATAGCCTGGGTCAGGTGCCCTGATAATACATGTACAATATGTGATCTGTTCAATGAATTTATAATGATCTTATATAATGCAGTGTGTATAATTCCTGTTTACTGCTGAAGAGGCACAGAAGAAAGTTGCAGAAGCTACTACATGCACAATACTATGGACTGAAAAACTGCTTCTCAGTGTATTCTTTAATTATCAGGAGTAAAATGCAGAACATGTTATCTGTGATGTACCCCCCCCCCCCCTCCCATTTTAACCCCACCCCCATCTCCACACCTACTATCTTGTTTTTCAAGATTTATTTCTAAAGCAATATTACAATGCAGTTCAAAAGACAGATGGAGAAACCAGTATGCCAGCAGTGCAGCAGTATTACCAGTGTATGTAGCAACTGAGTGCACCATACAAGCCACATGCTATTTATAGCTGATACCAGCATTTGGTTGTATTCACCTGAACATACCATAATTATAAAAATGTTGGTTGAAAAAAAAACTGAGGTATATGTAACAGTGGTGGAAGAGTATACCTTTGGATGAATTAGCCAAAGTTGATATATGGCTACAGTCTTGGCAGCAAGAATATCATACAATTTAGATAAAGACCTAAGAAAAAAAAAAAAAAAAGCGAAAAGAAAAATAGACTACCCAGCTGTGATTAGGCAACATACTTCAAACAATTAACTATGCTTGATTTCCATGTTTCTGGCCAAGCTGCAGTACAGAAAAAGTACTGAAGACTTCAAAGTACATGCTAAAACAAGACCACCTTCTTGATCTAAAAGACATGTTTGGACAAAGCCTGAGAATGGAACGGAGCCTTTGATTTCATCATCAGACACTCATGTATGTGTGGTCAAACTAGATGTGTTCAATCTATTGTTTCTGGTGGTGATAAACAGTTAAATTTACAAGGACTGTGAGGAAACAGTGTGCAGTCATCCCAAGTGACCAGCAGACCAGCAGTAATTTTAAAAGCCACCATCCATTTTACAGCCAGTTCTTGGGTGTGGGAAGTTTCTCATGACTACTGATCTGAATTTTCATGTTTTTAAAAGTTTTCAGTATGCCTCACACACGTGCAGGCACACACAATCACATGCACGCACGCATACAGAGAGAGAGAGATTGTTCTTTTTGATTATCTGATACAAATCCCGTTTGGATATGTTCTGTTCAGTGGATGATGTGGTATTCTGTATGTTCTAAGGCTTCGTTCACATGCAATGTCTATTTTCTAAATTCTATTTTCTATTCGCGCTATCTTATGATCACGGTCTGTGCACTGAATATCCCGCCGTGTAATTACTGGCAGCGCGAGCCAGTTACTTATAGTAACTTATAGTAACTGGCTCGCGCTGCCAGTAATTACGCTGCGGGATATTCAGTGCACAGACCGTGATCATAAGACATACTGCGAATAGAAAATAGAATTTAGAAAATAGACATTGCATGTGAACGAAGCCTAAGATATATCTTGTCTGAGCGTGCCTCCAGTCTGAGTTCAAGGTGAGAACAGATGTGTTGGCTTGGATTGATGGATGTCTGAGGAGAGAGAGAGGAAACAGAAAGGTCACTCTGGACTCAAAGGTTACCTCATTGTACACTTCATTGGAGCAAGAAAAATAATAATTAGATTAAAAAATGTGTAAAAAAAGGTGGATATTTAGATATGAAAATGTGATTTTTTTTTACCCCAGAGGGTTGAAAGTGGATCTTTTAAAATTATTGGGTTAAAGACTTACCGGTACCTAAGTATTTGTATTCAAAGTTTAAGTGTGTGTGCTTGCTGGAGTGAGTGTGCATTGTGTCTGAATACAGACTGTTCACATTTACAGTGTGCTAAATACCAAAGAGAGAGATTGTTTTAGTTGCCAAAGTATATATGTTATAGTTTATTCTCCCCTGGTGAAAGTGGTATAANGCGCTGCCAGTAATTACGCCGCGGGATATTCAGTGCACAGACCGTGATCATAAGACATACTGCGAATAGAAAATAGAATTTAGAAAATAGACATTGCATGTGAACGAAGCCTAAGATATATCTTGTCTGAGCGTGCCTCCAGTCTGAGTTCAAGGTGAGAACAGATGTGTTGGCTTGGATTGATGGATGTCTGAGGAGAGAGAGAGGAAACAGAAAGGTCACTCTGGACTCAAAGGTTACCTCATTGTACACTTCATTGGAGCAAGAAAAATAATAATTAGATTAAAAAATGTGTAAAAAAAGGTGGATATTTAGATATGAAAATGTGATTTTTTTTTACCCCAGAGGGTTGAAAGTGGATCTTTTAAAATTATTGGGTTAAAGACTTACCGGTACCTAAGTATTTGTATTCAAAGTTTAAGTGTGTGTGCTTGCTGGAGTGAGTGTGCATTGTGTCTGAATACAGACTGTTCACATTTACAGTGTGCTAAATACCAAAGAGAGAGATTGTTTTAGTTGCCAAAGTATATATGTTATAGTTTATTCTCCCCTGGTGAAAGTGGTATAAAAAGAATTTATCAATGAAAGGTCTTTCTGTCTGGCTGTCTTGCTATCTGTCTGTCTGTCTGTTAGTCTGGCTTGCTGTCTGGCTGGTTGGTGATCTATATATTCCAACCTGTTTAAATAGGCACATCTCTTTCCTTGCCCATTTATTTAACCCTATCTGGGTTATCAATAAAACACCTACTAGTATAGATAACGTTAAGTCCAAGCTCCCATGCTGATGTGCATGTGTACAGGTGCAGATGAAGCAACCCTTAACGCCAATATCGTTTCACGATATTACCATGTTCCACTACACCAATATTTCACTGGTGCCCTTCAGGATTAAGAGCAGCATACCCAGCCAGTATCACAGACGGACTGCATGATAAAGTGGAACACGAGGCGCGCAATGTCAGACTCGTAGCCAGGAATTTGATTGGGGGGGAGGGAGGGGAGGGGATGGGAGAGGGGGGGTCCTTAACAGACTTAACCATTTCAGAAGGAAGTAGTCTGGATATATTATGATGTGCATTTTTTTTGTCTGTTTCCTAGATGTCCCATTGATGTGAGTTGTATATATATATATTAAAGATGTGTGAATGCAACTTATAAATAATTTTTATAGAATATTATGATTATTAAAAAAATGCCAATATTATTGCACTGAAAAGATAACCCCACCAANAAAAAGAAAAAAAAAATAAAAATTTTTTGAAAACCCCCCCCCCCCCCCCCCCCATTGATCACTAATGAGGTATGCCCTGTCAAGTTCTGTTAAGAAAAATACAAAAATTTTACCTGGCCACTTTCAATTTTACTGTTATTCGGCATGACATTCAAAGTGAACATGGCAGACTGCATTTGTAAGACATGAAATTCCTTTGAATTTATCAGGAAATTAATATATTTGGCTGTTGTATTTACACACATGGCCCCCCCCCCCCCCCATATAACACTATATGCACCTTCTGTGCTTATGATTTCCATATTGTTAAAGATTCACTCTCAACTCCAATTCATACTTATCATTATTATTATTATTTATAATTTTAACCTATATTCCAGACAGCAGCTAGGGTCAGTCTTTGACCTGCTAGAGGTAGTGGATGTACTGGACAGCCGGGACACCATTAACCTTGGTCTTCTGGAGCGTCCAGACCTCGGAGTCACCTTCACCAAGTTTCATGTCTGGAGGCTGACACAGTTCAAGAAATGTGTGTTCATGGACTCTGATACTATGGTAACTTAGACGACTTATCTGTGTGTGTGTGTGTGTGTGTGTGTGTGTGTGTGTGTGTGTGTGTGTGTGTGTGTGTGTCTGTTGCACATTCTTATGTGCAAGGGGGAAGAGACGTGTTTAGAACCGCATACATTTGTACACATGCACACACATCCACTTTCTTATAGCCGTCTCAATTCGATACTGCAATTAATGCACGTAAATTAAATAAAAATTGATCAAAAGCTTAAGCAGGTGCCATATTACAAAACTGGTACAAATACATTAAAAAAGTACTGATTCAGTTTGCAGAGTGGTCATTTTATGTAAATAGAATGTGTGATCCTTCAAGTAAAATAATGGCTAACATTTTGTGTTGCAGGTGCTACAAAACATAGATGAACTATTTGAGCGTGAGGAGTTTTCAGCGGCGCCAGACCCCGGCTGGCCAGACTGCTTTAACTCAGGAGTGTTTGTACTGCAGCCCTCTCTACAGACATACCAGAACTTACTGGCCTTTGCCATGACAGTAGGGAGTTTTGATGGTGAGTCTCCTCCTCCTCCTCCCTCCCTCCCTCTTTCTCTTTTACTCTGCAACCCCCCCCCCTCCCCCACTCTCTCTCTCTCTCTCTCTCTCTCCACCGCTCCCCTTTTTCTCTCTCCTTCCCTCCCTTCCTTTCAGGTTCAAAAAATTATACCAGGGATGAGACTGTTGGTGGATTTCTGACGTTTTGGAGACCAAAAATATCATTGTGAAAGGGGGCACCCTGAACCCCATGCCATATTTTCCAACTTTTTCACCAAATGGCAGTCTCATCCTTGCTAATAGCACATAGAAGTAATGGTGTTCAGTAACTTGACTTATTTGTAAAATGTAATGGCCTAGTGTGGGATCACAGTTAACACAGCAGTCTGGTAATGTGCCAGTTGGGATTAACAGTGTGTGTGAAACCAGATTGTGAGGAACCCAGGTATCAGATATCATAATAAGGAGTAGCGTCTAGATGTATAATCAACATGTAAGAGTTCCTCACACCCCTTTGCAAAATATCAGACCTGCTGCAAATTCGTTTGGGGCAAATTCGCTGCAATATTGCCATAGCCTGCAATTCCTTGCAAATTTGCAGCAGTATGGCTGCAAATTAGCAGAAAATTTGGAAGACTGTCTTGGTCCGCCCCTGTAAGATGATATTTCGTAGATTTTACATTTCTTTTATGTACAGTGAATTGCTGTTTGTTTCAGGTGGAGATCAGGGCTTACTCAATCTATACTTTAAAGACTGGGCGTACACAGATATCCAAAAACATCTTCCCTTTATCTACAATGTTGTATCCCAGGCATTTTATAGTTACCTGCCTGCGTTGAAACAGTAAGTATAGTGTGTGTGTGTGTGTGTGTGTGTGTGTGTGTGTGTGTGTGTGTGAGAGAGAGAGAGAGAGAGAGAGAGAGAGAGAGTTTCCTTGGGAATGGATCCTAAGAAAAGGAAAAACTCAAAATGATTGACTTTTACTGAATTTCATTGAATAATTTCTTCAGATTTGATCCCAATTTCAAAGTTGTCCACCACATCCGTTTTGTATTAAAAAAGAAATAGTTTTTTAAAAAATACAGAAATTTTCTGATTTTTTTTTCTCCCAGATTTGGTGCCAATATCAAAGTAGTCCACTTCATACAATTTGTTATACAGTATTTTAAAAAGAAATAAAAGAAAACACTGATGTTTTCCCTCCAGATTTGGTGCCAATATCAAAGTGGTCCACTTCATCGGCCCAGTGAAGCCATGGATGCACAAATACAACACTGCTACAGGAGAGGTGATCCCTGAACCTGGGACAGGGCACCATGGTACCTTCCTCCAGCAGTGGTGGAACATTTTCATGGAGTTGGTCCAGCCCAAGATGGACCCTACCTACTTGGTGAGTAGATGGCCTGAGGTCGGGGAGGGGGGGGGGGGGCAGATTGGCAAAAGAATTAAATATAGAAAATTGGTCCTAACTTTGTGACAAATTAATCCTATTGATGTTTAAGGTAAGTCTGCAGTTGTCTGCTTACACAGAATAAGCATTGGTCTGATCTGAAACATCAGTCATAAAACGGGCGCTATATTTAATTTAATTGGACATCTACTTATTTATCTTGCATCAGAAAATGCTTGTTAATAATTGAAAACAATTGTTTATTATTTTAAGACTGAAATTTTTCAGACTACTATGGCCCCAGAGAAATCAGTAGTATTCTACTTAAATTGATTAAAATTTTGGGACTTTTTATGAAAAGTAGCTTGAGATTTAAACAAATAATTCCTTTATGTGAAAGGACTGCTGCAGATTTATCCAAGATTTAAACTTGGGAAAATTTTTGGTTTTAAAATAAGGACCAGCTAATAGCTGTAATTCTTTTGTGAAGCTGCATGGGGCTTTGTGTGATTTAACCATTTTATAGCTTTGTAGTTAGTTTATGTAGGATTATGAACAGATTTTAGATGTGTGATAGAATATTTTTCATGAAGAAAGAATTAGTACTCTTTAGTATCCAGTAGCTCAAGTTTGCTGTGATTGTTTGCAAAATGAGTAATAGAGGAATTTCTTTATCAGAAATATTAATGGGAGAAAATCAAAATTATGTAAAAATATGTAATAATTACAAGAGAGAAAATTGTATCGGAATTTAGCAGTGATATGTACATGTAATCTGGAAAAGGCAAAAGTTGTTTGCCAATTTAATTTGCTTCAGCTACAGGTTGTGCATCACAGTATTGTTTAGAAATGTTTGTCGTATTTTTATTGCTGGCTTATAAAGGAAGAAGATGCACTGGTAGGTTAAATGTCAGCTCTATCTGTGTTTTTTCTTCATTTTATTTTTGTCTTTGAATTTCTTTTCTTTTCTTTTATTTTCTCTTCGAAAGAACAATCCCCTCTCTCCTTTAGATTTAAAGAAGCTATAGATTTCATATTAGATCTGGAATATCAGTGGCAGATCTAATTTTCCTTCCCAAATTTCAATTATTTTTGCTGCAAGTTAGATATTAAAATAATTTTTAGTCCTAGATTGTTTCTCTCTGACTTTTGATAAAAAAGTCAATTAAATTACAGGGCACTGAAAGTAAATGTGATCTTATTGTGGTTCTTTAACTGAATAATTGGATCACTGCCCAGTTTTTGGCACATTTCTTTATTTCTTTTGGAGCAAGAGTTCTTGCCATTTGTCAAAGTTATTTCCAATTAATTGGATGTTTTTTTCTGTAAGCAAGCCCAAAACATGACTAGTCAATTTGATGTTGTTGCTTTAGGTTGAAAAGGCCAGATATTCTAGAATTTTAGTTGTTTCATTATTTTGTCTGGGTTTTACCCCCCTTTCCTGTATTTTTCTTTCCTTTGTTTTTCCATTTTGTTTATATATTGGGACATTTTGACATTTGTTCTTTGTGGTGATGTCTTCATATTGATATTGATATTGGGAATCAAAGTTAATGTAGTAGTTAGCTTTCAATTTTTTTTTTTTTTTCAATTTTTTGAACACCTAAAATGAATTAATTTAACTTCCATAGGTTGTGTGTCCTCTCTGCAGACAAAGGATCAGTTCTCAAGCGTCTTCGGTTCTTACAGACTTGGTGATGACAGTTAGACATGTTTTTAACTATTTTCTTGTTTCTGTTACATTTTATCTGTTCAAGGGTGACACAGGCAGCTTTTACAAGTGCTAAAGTGTCTCTGTCACTGTTGAATTTGCCACTGTTCTTGTCTTTGATTAAATTAGTTATTGTTCATGTTACAGGAAGTTGCTCCACAAGTGTTGATTGCTTATTGGCATGTCTTTGACCATTTTTGATAACATTTAATCCAGTTGTAATTTCTAAGTTTGTTATCTGGTAATTTGGAAGTTTGTTATCTGGTATATGTTTAGAGGGTTCTTTTTTTATAAGTTACAATGCTAGATTTTTACTAACAGTGTGGAACAGGTTATCCTAACAATTGTTCCTGATGTTTTGTTCCTCAGAGCCTTGTTTTGTCTAAGTAAATTTAGCATCTTTAACTCTCTTTTTTTTAAATTTTCATTTGATAACCTCATTCAGCAGATTGAAAACAATTCTCCTCTGATTCGTTAACATCTGTACCTCCAATTGTGATTGGATTATAATTTGTTTTGGTGTGTGATATTATCCCCAGTTGTGATAGGTGAGACATTGTGTAGGATTGTGATATTATCCCCAGTTGTGATAGGTGAGACATTGTGTAGGATTGTGATATTATCCCCAGTTATGATAAGTGAGACGTGTAGAATTGTGATATTATCACCAATTGTGATAGGTGAGACGTGTAGGATTGTGATATTATCCCCAGATATGATAAGTGAGACATTGTGTAGGATTGTGATATTATCCCCAATGCTGTTGGATACAACATCCAATTTTATGCATGATATATGGTTGTCTGCTATGAGTAATAGCATCCCAATAATGTTTATATTATTTCAGTAGATACTTGGAATATCATTCTCGTTATAAGAGTCATTAGTTTCAGAATTTTTTTTATTATTTTGCTGTTCATTCTGTTTCACATCCTTTAGTTTGTATTCTTGGAGATAATCTTGTTTCTGGTAGCGTTTTACATAAAGTGTACCCTGTTTGACGATCTGACTGATGATGTTGATGATGCTAAGTATGATGGTATCAATGACAATCTGGTTCTTTCTGAAGCCTGGGAAAAATTGTATGGTATTCAATAGTCCAGTGAATTATAAGGATTATATAATGTATAAGAACAGAGTGTGAGAGTGGTATGCCAAAAAGAGTCTGTGAAGTGAAGTTGAAATAAAAGTACTGTTTGTTTATGATAACACAAAGATATAAATTGAACAGGTGAAAGATTTTTTTCTTGTAATTACTAACTTCATTCCTTTTTTAACGAGACCCAGTATGGTCTTGCTAACCACACTTTACGATTTCAGGTGACACTGGTTTACTGGCCTCCCAGCCCCCCCTCGGCACCCTGGGAACCAAGTGGTCCCTCTCCCCTTCCTCCTCTTCCTCCTCCTCCTCAGCACCATCATCAACCCCAACAAGAACAGTACCAGATGTTTTCTCCCTTCAGCCCTCCGCAGGTTGAAACTTTCTACCATCCTCCTGCTCCTCAGCCCAGTGAGCAGCCAGAACACGTGGTTCCGCACCAGGAACCAAGAACATTCCACCATTATGAGTCGTTTTATTCTGAGCCGCCAATGTCACAGTTCAACTACGAAGCTCCGCCGAGGCAGGAGTATACGGCTAATGACTTTCAGAAAGATTTCTCGCCTGAAAATGGGGTGGAGAGAAAACCAGCTCGTGATGATAATGTAGAATTGCCTTTGCTCAAACAGGAACAGGAGGACCATGGGGCCTCCCAGGGCGCCAGCGAGGTCGCTGACACGGATTATGCCTCAGCAGACTCTAAGTCTCTGGGAGAGATTTGCGATGGCGAGACCACAGACACTGTAGATAAGAATTACTCTGAAAATGAGTCTAATGCAGAGACGTATCACACAGCAGAGAATGGGGACGGTGATGATGATGATGAATCAGAAATTGCTCAAGATGAAGAAGAGATTGAAACAGAATCAGAGACGGATTCTTACTATTCTGATATTGACTCGGGGCGATACAGCCCCGTAGATCACACGATCGATTTGCTTGGCAATGGGAAGGAAGATGAAGAGATAGAGGAGGAGGAGGAGGAAGAAGAGGGGGAGGAGGTAGAAAAAGGAGTGGAAATTCTTAAAAAGAGAGAAAAGAGTGAGATGCTTCATTTCTCTTCACTGGAAACAGAGGAGGTACTTTTTAATCATTGGCCATTACAAGTCAGGTGGCTGGCTTCTCGGCTTCTGATTGGCTGTTGTATATCATGTGACTGGTTTATGATTGGCTGAGTGGGGCTTTATGGCTGCATCAAATATTTGATGACCGGTCAGGCCTAGAGGCAGGGGAGGGGGGTTAAGAGAACCTCCGTTTTGGATGTAGAAGAGGTCTCCCCTTACTCCTAGTTTAGTGCCATTAATCAAGTTGTGTCTACTAAAAAGGGTCCATTTTTTCAGAAAAAAATACCCTCACCCCCCTGCCTTAGAGGTAGCTCACTAAAGATCTGCTGGTGGATTCAGTTTGATCAGCCATAGAACATGAGGTGGCTGGGCCGAGTCTGGCTTTTATTTGAGTGTTTGGTGATTGGTTTTGAGGTCAGGCGATATATCAGTATATATAGGTGAAGAGAGAGGAAAGAAAGGGGGTTACATTCAGTATACACTGCACTGCTTGGCATATAGCGTTTTTTACACTGAAGTTCATGGTGAAAGGAGGCAAGTGGTTGGTGATGGAAGTACTTAGCTTTGTAGAATTTGATCACATTTTCTTTATTCTTCATTCTAAGATTGAATTTTTCAATTAACTAAGATTGAATTTTTGGTTAGAGGAGACACCTTTTGTACATTCAAAAGGGTTTTGTTTTTTTTTATTCTTCATTCTGAATCGGTGAACTTGCCTGCTTTAGCTTTAAACTGACTGTGTTGAAACACAATCTGTTGCACCAACTCTGATGATAGTATATATTATAACTAACACATAGATGTTAAGAAGAGTATGCACGCAGGGTTATGTGTTGGATCGTGTTTGAGCGTGCACATGTGCTTGTGTGCTCACATCTGTGTGCGTAATTGAAATTGTGTATGTCTATGTGTGTGTATATGTGTGCGCAGTGTGTGTGTATGTGGGGTGGAGGCACAAATTTTCAGTGATATGAGATATTGGCAGTGCTGTGTGTATTTGTTCTAGCGTGGACATATCTGTGGACATATCTGTGTGTGTGTTGGTATACAGATAAGATAATGATGCTGATGTCCAGAACCTGCCCAAGTGTATGAGAAAACTGGCCTTGTTATTGAAAGTGAGACC